CCCCCGGTTCCCGGGGGGCCCAGCCAGACATGAGGCATAACTGGGGAGAGCCGGTAGGAATGCTAGTAGCGCTTTTCAAGCTGCTAATCAATGCTACTGTTATTAAATACTGATGTGCATGTCTTCTTAGTGCTTTCTGTTTAATTTTTTCTGTGATTGCATCCCCAAGTGCAGGTGTGTGTTGCCTATGCAAGCAGGACAGTCAGCTGGAGGGAAATGTAGGCTATGGCCATCAGGGTAAATATTTTGAAAGTTCTGAGGAATGTTAACATCTTATTACATTTGAGGAGGGAGACTTTACAAACTTAAGTTTCTCTGTAGGAATAGGAAAGTGTCATCCATTTTCTTTGCCTGATCTGACTCAGTATGAGAGCTTAGTTCAGAATCATTTGGCAAAGAAGCCATTGTTTTAGTAAAGTCCTCTTAGTACAACGGAAGTAGCTATTGCTGCTTTATTACTCCAAGGTTGTTTTGGGATAGAATACAAATAAGGAGGCTTTCTCTGAAGAAAGCTTGCAAGATATCCTTAAGACAAATGGATGAATAGAGCACTTACGTTAACTTTCAAACTTTCAAAATCTGAGTTCCTCAAACTCCTTGTCAGGAGTAACTTTTCAGTTAGTGCATGGTCTTTCTGTGAATGACTGCAATCTAACTGTGATTACTGAACTTGGTAATTGACTTGAGCTCTCCTAAAAGTAGAGATTATGTAAGCATGGGTATGTAATATATCATAGTATAAACATGCCAGAGCATCACAGCTCTAGAGTACTACAGTAAAGTGCATGTTGTAATAACTGTAGAAGCACATGAAAAATACCCACAGTGACTCTGTGTTGCTGTCGTGCTTGGTACAGGAAGGCTTGTATAGGTACCTTTGCAGATGGGTTGGCAGTGGGGACCAAGCAGAATATACTGGTGCATCCCAGGTGTCAGGAGATGCCTCTGTTTAGGCAACCGAATTCTGCTCAGTTTGGCTCTCGGGGTTTGATAGCCAGTGGCTCTGTGTGCAAAGAGGAAGGCTGGGGAGCTAGAGGCAGTACTTGAGCTGCAAATTGAGTTCTCGGCTTTCGTTAATGTGAAAGGAGACTATAGGCAGAACGTGCTTGGGACTTCCCTATGTATATTTTAAGGCAGAAGCTTAAATGCCCTTCTGCTTCAATCAGGAAGGGCATTAGCTTGCTACCAGCCCTGCTCTTGTGGTAACAGTGGCAGGTGCTCTACCTGTTTTGAGGAACCACCTTCCAAGTGGCAGGTAGTTGCTGCTTTGTTTGAAATAACACTGCTCCTTCTGTTTGGGTGTGTGACTGAACTTCCATAAATGAGGGTACTCATTTGTACCATGCCTTTTCAACAGTGCTGGGGAGCAAATCTAAGGTGGAGTGATTATGTATATAAATAAAAGCTGCTGCTATCCTGTAATTAAGCATATTGTCTGGTATAAGTATAGGATGGCATTTGGACTCCTGAGTTTTACTGTAAGTGACAACTTGCTGTGACTGTAGGTAAATCACTTAATCTCCTCTGTGGCTTTATCTCCACCTGCGAGGTGAAGATGAAACAACTTATGGCAGTTTTGTGAGTGTTGTAAAGCACCTCTTCCCTTGATAAAAGCAGCTTGAGCACTTTTGGTAAATGTGCAGCCATTTTCTTTTGTTCTTTAGATGCACTGGGACTTTGACATGTATATTCGGAACCGTGTTGATACATCCCCCACTCCAGTTCCCTGGCACACCATGCGCAAACACTTCCTTATCTTTTTGAGTACCATGCTGATCATGTTTGGTCTTGGAGAGATCTTTCCAGCTTACAGGCCTGTGGTGAGTGGCATACTTGGGTAAAGGGAGGAAAACTAGCTGTGTTTCTTGTCACTGCTGATGCCCCTAAGAATGGTTTGACTGAAGCTAAGTGATGAAGGTGAATGCAAAACCCTGCTGCTGGCAGGGGATGGGCCAAGGGATGTTCTGCAGCCTCATCCAGCCCGAGTTGTTCTGTTGACTGGCTTGGCTCAGCTCACAGGTTCTGTTTCATAATGAGCAGTTCCTGTTTATGGGGAACTAATTTTAAGCTATGCTTCTTACAGTATCCCTTCTTTGGTTTAGGTATTCTCCTTCTGTGTGTGCATCTGCTTGAGGAAGATGCTTTATCTCTTCTCTTGCCCTGTGTTTTTTAGTTATATCTCATGATCTGGATTGTACTTCAGAAAAATATATCTGACTATACAAACAGCTTTTGCAATATATCATCCTCATGCTGTGAGATGAACTGTTGGTTAAGATCAAATGCAAGACCACCTTGATGTTTCTGCTAAAGGACATGGGTTTATAAAAAGAACTCTGTCTCTGAATATACTTCCCTTGTACTCTACTATTCCTGCTGAAGCACTTAAGAAATAGACATTTGTTGTAAATGACAAGCCTTGATTTGGGGAGGTGGGATGGGATGAGACATTTTCCTCTTACCCCTTAATTTGCTTGGTGAATGTGGTGAATTTGCCACTCTTTATCTCTCCTTGTAGGGACCGAAGCAATATCCCTTCAATGACCTGTACCTGGAGAGAGGAGGAGACCCCAATAAAGAGCCACCAGTGGTGACGCACTATGAAATCTGAAAGTTGAAGTGCTCTGTTTCTCCTGTGTCAGCTCTGCTGGGGATGGCATCTTCTCTAGCGTTCACTGTGGCATATAACACTTGTTCTTCAATGTTCAACCACTAACTCCAGTGAAATATATCAATGATACCTACTGTGCTAGTTGTCTTCTGTTGGTTTGAGAAGGCTGAACAATGGCCAGTGAAATTGAATGACCTTTGCCTTTTCTCTAAATGGGCTAGTATCTGCGGGGCAAAGTTCTGAGTGCAGTCTAGGACTGCTGCTAGTTTATGTACTTTGTGCACAAACATTCCTTAGCTAAGCCTGTTTATGCAGATATTGCTTGTTATCAAGTGGCTTACTGCAAGTGCTGCTTGGAGTTGAACTAGTGTCATCATTTAATGTGAAATGATGGGCAGAATCAGACTGGCAAGTGCCAGTGCTTGGAAGTCTCATACCTTGTGAATAACTGTCTGTCCTCACTGGGATTTGGCTTTGATCTCTTCCTGGTCTAGATGCCCTCTTAAGTGAAGCTTGCACAACCAGTAGGGAGCACTAGTGAGGCACGGAGCCTTGCAGTGTATAGCTTGAAGCTGACAGAAGAGCTGTGGGCAGCAGTGGTACAAAAAGGCCAATGAGCAAGTCCAATTCTGGCCAGACCTGTTCTGCTGTGCCTGGGCTGTGGTCCGAGAGCATGGATGCCCACGTTGCTCCTGTGTGGCCTGAGCTTATCCACCAAGGTTGGAGTTATGCCTGACCCACAAAGTCTGCCTGTCTTTCTGCAAACCACGGGTGTATGACCTCCTATGGCTTCATCAACTGTTTTCTTGGGACAGTTATACATACAATTTTATTAAGGTCCTAGATTTGTCCGGCTCCACTCTTCCTTTAACATAAGGTTTTTTCCCCCCTTTGTTACTGGAGGAGACAGTACCTTCAGTACTGATTTACAGTGGAAGTTTTCTCAACTCCCCTATGCTATGTCTTAGACTGTGCTGTTTGGCTGCAGGAGTGGGTGATCACAGAAGGCTAAGGGCTTGGGCTGTTCTGGGTGCTTCCTATAAACTGGATGGTGTGCTCTGCTTTCCATGCCCTGTCATGACTCATAGTTTTGTGCCTTAAGAGAAGCAGGTGTTTGAAGATGGTGATTCATGATTTTTCAATCTATAAAGATTTTAAACCCCAGATGTAAAAGACACTTAGCTTGATCACTGTGTAGGGGTTTCTATAAGGGTGTTATGTTCAAGGGAATTACATGATTGAATGCTAGGACATACAAATATTTATATGTAAATAAACCTAACCTCTTTGGAGGTGCTGAATGATCACCATTCCTCCTGGTTTTTGTAAGCTGTCGCTTTCTCTTTTAGGTACAGAAATGCTTGCTTTTAAATTATGGACAATGATGTTTTGCCCCAGAAGGGTTTCTAAAGTATTTTTTGAGCTGTGGGGACCTAGAAAATGAACTCTGTTACAAAGTATTATGCAGGGGAAAATACTTGTTAGGAGTACTTGAGTAAGAATTGCCATCCACTGCAGTTATGTGACAGCACTATATACAATGTTGTGAGAGTTGTTAAGAGTCTTCAAGTAAAATTAAAACAATCATAGCAGTAACAGGAACCTTATTTTAGTGTATGTAAAATGATAATGCAGCAGTTGCACAGAGGCAGGTTGCAGTCCATCCCACTTACTGTACTGCATACCACAGGGCTGCCCTGCCCCAGCATTGTTCGCTGCCTCCTCCTTTGGGGAGTTTCACACCCAGTCTGTATCTAACCGGTAACTTGATGGTGTTATTCATCATTGGGAAGGCATAATAGGTTGGGCAGAGAACATGGCTCGGAAATCCTTAAAAATGGGGTTTGTAGTGTAGGCAGATTTTCTCAAAACAGGAGAGAGGTGACGGAAGGAGGTCTGGGCCCTTCTGCGTTTGTTGGGGCTTTTCTTCCTGGCAGCTAAAATGCTTTCAGGAATATATTTTCCTAAGCTGTGTGCCTTTCCCTCTGCGTGCCCTCTCAGGAAGGCTTGAATCTGTAGCTGAGGCAAAGCTCTTCCGAGAGGGGTGACTTCAGAGGCAGCAGACCCCAGCTCTAGCTACGGTGTTCCTTGCCCTCCAGCATGAACCATTTCGGACTAGTGGATGGAGCGTATTCAAGTATCTTAAAAACAGGAACTGTGCCCAACAGTCTTCTGGCTTGGGAGCCCCGTGCTCAGCCCGGGCCGCTGCTGAGGCCCCCGGTCGCGGACGCCCCGAACCTGGGCAGGAGAGACTAAAAGCAGCCTCTCCGCGCCCCCCTCCCCGGTTCGGGACACACCCGCGGGCCGGTAGTGCCTAGAGCCTAGACCCCGCAAGGGGATGGGCTCCCGCCCCCTCGCCGGCGGTGACGGCTCCCGCCCTACGCGGCGGCCCCGGGGCCGTCGGCCGTACGGTAGCTGTGAAGGCTCCCGCCGGCGCCTGCGCAGGCGGGGCGGGCGCCATGGGCGGGGCTACGGGCGGTGCTTCGCGGGCGGGGGCTTTTCGGCTCCCGGCGGCCACCGTCGCGAGGGCTCGGCTGCGGGAGCTGTTCGGGCTTGGGTCGGCGGCGCGGCGGGGACGGCCAGCGAGCCGGTAAGGGCCGCCGGCGGCTTCCCCCTCCCTCCTCCTCCGCCGCCTCTGAGCCGCTCGGCCTGGCGCGGGCGGCTGCTCCTGGCCCGGCCCTCGCGCCCCTCAGGCTCCGCCACCGGCGGCAGGGGCCCGGGAGCCGCCCCGGGCCGG